AAAAACGGAAGGGTCAGAAATTTCATAGTTTTTCATTGGTAATACTCCTCGATAAAAGACAACAAGAAGGGTGATATTAAAACAATATTTATGTTGCGACACATTATCTGCCTAATAAAGCGTTAATTTAAACCACGCAAAGTTGATTTTTCGTTTTATATTACATGGATTTCAAAATTACGGACGGACGGACGGATTTTTTTTTTTTTATGTCGGTCCTATCGAATGATTTCGGGAAATCGGGTGTCATCGGGTGAAACCGGATTAAAAAGATGAAAAAAAATATATGCTAAAAATCGAATAATTGACACAATTGGCAACTAAAAAAAAAAAAAAATTTTAAAAAAAATTGAAAAAATAGGACGGACGGGTAATGCAAAACGAAAAATCAGCTTTGTGTGGCCTTAAGTATTCCAAATTAATTTACTATTATCTTATAAAACCAAATAATATATATAATAAAAATTTAATATTACGTATCAATAGATATACTAATCGTTACTTGATAAGCTGTGATCCAAGGCAAACATGATGTCGAAACGAAACCTACCCGAAACTAGTTTCGGATTTTTTTAAAAAAATCAAAACTCCCGAAATTATAATCCGAAACCCAAACCTATAATCCGAAACTCAAAAATATAATATTTAAGCCTTTGAAATTTATTATAAAGTTGATTTATTTTTAATGAACACAAAATGTAAAATTATTTTTGAATAAATTATAACATTATATAGATCATTTTTTTAATTTTGTTTTTTTTCACTGCCTCGGTTTGTTCGGTTTTTTTAAAGCTGGTCAACTTTATTTTTAATATCATACCGTTATTACAACTAATTTCAAAATTCTAGGGCGATAGAAAAATTGACAATGATGAATCGATAAGTATTTGATGGCTTTTGATTCCAATAATTTATTTAACTTATCAATTCAAACATTAGTAGATATGGACGTACTAATTACCTATTATTACTTGATATTGTATCCAGTTTTTACATAGTAAGTAAAAAAAACTGATGCTTGCAAAAGCAACATTGATTGTCAGAATATAAACTCCAGAATTTTATCTTTCATGTTATACTTGTGAATTATAACAACAAAAAGGACTGCGCGCATGCAATAAATTATTGGATGCATTCCACCCAAATAGTGCTGGATATTCGAATTTTATTATATTCTTTAAGGAGATATATAACATACATCAATGCGATTAATGTATATTGAAGAGATATATAGCATACATTAGTGCATTTAAAAGAGATATATAATACATTAATGCAATAAATGTATATGGAAGTTTGGGTAGTTTTTGACATTCAGGTGAGGTTTTGGTTGTTGGGTGGGTTCGAGTTTCGGATAAGGTTTTGGAAGTTATAATCAGTGTCTGAAATTCAATTTTTAATTTAGTCGCGGATCCGCAACTAAATAAAGAATCTACTTGCGGATTATGTGAGTTTAGTTGCGCATATGAATATATCTATATGCAAATTTGAACATTTCTATATGAAATTCACAAAATCTATTTGCGGAACTGCATATGCATTTCAGATTTTAGTTGCGGAAACTTATAAATCATTTGCGGTCCGCAAGCTCCACAACCCAATTTCAGACACTGGTTATAATCCGAAGCCTAAAACTTTCGGATTTGGCACAAAAGGGTTTCAGTGCCAACTTTGGAGAGATAAGCAAATAAATGATTGATGTTTTGGCAGTTTCGGGGCTTCGGTTGAGGTTTCGGGTTTCGGTTGAGGTTTCGAGTTTCGGATAAGGTTTCGGAAGCTATAATCCGAAATCCGAAACTTTCGGAATCGCCAAAAAAGGTTTCGGTACCATCTCTGATCCAAGATAAAGTTCTAGAATTTTATTTATTGCACAGGTCTTAAGTGGCAACTCGTGGTTTTTCATTTACTTATTTGCACAGGATTGTTACGTCAGACACCGTGTAATAAGATGGCTATTCACTACATATTCATAAATAACTATAAATTGCAAAATTATATAGTAAATTTTTTATTGTAGGTGCAAAAAACTTACATAATTGATTTTAAAGACGCGCATATTGCCTAAAGTTGCATTTGACTGAAATTAGTAATAAAATTATCACCTTGTACGCTTAGTTGGCGATTTTAGACAATAGTAACTTCAAGTGTCTAAATTACAATGGGACGTAACTCAGGAGCATAAGTTTTTTTTTGCATCTATAATTTTTATTTAAAGGTTAAACGTAAAATCTTTATTTATCATATTACTATTATGATTGTTAACTCCTCAAGAATATCAATTTTTTTTTATCTTCCTCAGTGTTGCCAAGAAAATTTCATATATACAACTACAATAACTCTCCCTTGTCTGCCTTCTCAAGACTAATGCTAAAATATGAAATTTCTATTTGTGAGTATAAACCACTTATACTCTGTCATTAACAAATAATCCTAAATCTTAGTCTGATCCTAAAAAAAAAAAATTTAACTAAATGTTTTTAGATTTTGAAAATAACTGAGGTAAAATCACCGTCCTTATGTTATTAGGGTTAGGAGCTGTTGAGACAAAGAGAGGAACTAGATACAAGAGTTCAAATTTTAGTTAAGATAAGGTTTCAGGGGTGTTGAACTTTTTATTTAGAATACCTAACCTTAATTACTTAGTACATTTTTTGAAATATTGCATCCCGGTGATTTAAAATTAGCATTCCTAGAGTTTAATATTCAAATTTTGAGCATCAGTCAGTTTAATACAAGCTGTGATAATTAACTAATAAATAAAAGAATAAAATAACATAATGATACTTCCTATACTTGGTATATAGTATTTATTGTTTGCCACATTCCTTTCTTTTACTACGGGGTGTAAAAAGGAAACAATTAATGGTCGTTATAGTGTTCAGATATTAATTTATAGCATTATTTATTTTCAATTATAAAAATACGCAGTATAAATACATCTATAGATAGATTGTAAGAAAAAGTTACTACATGTGTAACAAAATATCAGCATTTCCTTTAATTATAGTGGTTCTAATTTTCTGAGAACAAAACGGAATAAATTTTAATCGCGGCAGTTCTAATTTTCCGAAATAATTTTAAAGTTTAGTCGAAGTGATACAAATTAGTATGTTTTTTGATGCATGAATAATTAAACTTTTGTCTAGCATTATTAGTTACATTGTTGTATCAGAAATGATATTTCGAAAATTCAGGTACATTAGTGTAACGAAAACATAATATAAGCATCAAGCAAACAATGCTACGCATTAACCTAATAGTTCGAAATGGCTCAAGACTCAACAAGTACCAAAGAAACCCTTAGAGCTCTTGATGAGTATGTTCTTTTGGGACGTAGTGGATTAAGGGTTTCTCCTCTATGTCTTGGCACCATGGTATACAATTTTAATTTCTGATATTATTATGAAATTTTTTTTCAATTAAAAGCTTTTTGATGGTTTCGGCGCAAGAATTTTGGACAACAATTTGTAAGACTTTTTTTTACTTTTAATATGTCATGTTCTCTCGATATGAAATTAATATCTTTATCATACACAAAAATTTTTTATACACGCTAAAAAGAGTACTGGTGTGAATTATGAGGGCTCCAAAGAAATTTTCAATAGTTATTTTGAAAAAGGCGGGAATTTCATCGGTATAAACTTATATACAATATGTAGTGCTTTTTTTTTTTTTTTTTATCAATCGAAATAAATTCATAAGACATTTGCCATTTCCAGATACTGCAAACCTTGGAGAGGTGAATAAATAACGCATTTTAATAATTGCACATATTAATTATCACACGTATTTTCTAGTATATATGATAACTTTATAATTTTTTTCTACATATGAAAAGAGCGAACGTTTTATTGGAGAATTTATCGCCGATAAACGTTCTCAAGTAGTAATTGCAACCAAATATACTGGTGTGTAATCCGATTTATTGCTTTACGTAAAAGTTCATTATTTATGCTATATGTTTTCCTTTTTGTTTATGAAGCAAATGCTACTGTTTTTACGCCAAATGTCAAATATAACGCGAATGCTGGTAATTTCACGAACTTTATTACTCAATTCATGAGTTTGTATATACAGATATAATTCTGATAAAATATCTTTTTCGCTCAATTTAAAGGTGGAAATCATCGTAAATCTCTTATCGAAAATCTCGACGCAAGCCTTAAGCGACTGAATACTGGATATATTGACCTTCTGTACGTTCATGCTTGGGAATTCCGTACGCCTACTGAGGAAGTAATGCGTTCTTTGGATGATGTTATTAGAAGTGGCAAGGTAAACATCTAACACTTAATTTTATATCTTATATACTGTACTAATTATTTACTATGAATTTCTTAGGTATTATATATCGCGATTAGCGATGCACCTGGGTGGGTAATTAGTCACACAAACACCTTGGCTGAATTACGTGGATGGAGGTAATATCATATCATATATATATTAATAATTTATATTAAATTATTATAATGATGAAATATAACCAAAATTTGTAAAATTATATCAGTCGTTTTATTGGGTTGCAAACTCGGTATAATTTGTTAGAGCGATCCATGGAATTTGAATTGCAGTCTGCATGTGCAGAACATAATGTACGTAAATATGTTTCAGTATTATCATTATCAGAATATTAACAAATAAGGCATTAAATTTCAAACATAATTAACAAAAACCTGATTATGAGTTTTAGCAATATAATAATTAAAAATTTATTCTTACTATAAAGGTTGGAATCATTCCTTGGGGATGTATTGCTGAAGGGTAATTATCAAATCGATTCCTTACGTGATTACGTATAGGTTAACTTATATTTCTTTTAATTATTTTATTATTTTATCAATAGGTTCTTAACTGGAAAGTACACTAAAGAATCAGATACAAGCATAGAAAAGATTGGTGTACGCAGTTACTCAATTACTAAATCAGCAAGAGTTGAAAAAAATTGGGAAATCCTAAATGAAGTTAAAGCTATTGCTTCTGAAATTAATAAAAGTCCTACTCAGGTAGCTGAATATTGAATATTGTTATTTAAATGTATTTCTATAATTCAATTATTTTTAATTTAAAAGGTTGTTTTAAATTGGATCTCACAAAAACCTGGTGTCACTTCGCCTCTTATCGGTGTCAGAACAAAAGCTCAATTAGATGATAATCTTAAAGCTCTTGAGTTCAAGTAAATTTCATTTTACAAAGTCACCATACTTACAAGCAATAGAGTTTTCATATAATTTACAATTTAAATAATTAGGCTAACTCCTGAACAAATGGCAAGATTGGATGCAGTTTCGACACCAAAGGAAATACCATTTCCTTATAACTTCTTTGCACGAACAAATTATTATCTTGGTAAAGATATACAGATGCCTGAAAAATTTAAACCTGTATTAAGCATGAGTACAGGAATGTGATACCTTGTAAATTCAAGAATTGGATTGGGTTTTATATGTACGTACTCCCAACGAAAACTCGAATATTCCTGACTTCAACTTATGTATAATTGGATTCGCATGATAATTTACATATGTATGTTCCCCAATAAAAATTATCATCTTCAAAATATCTAAATCGAGTACAAATTAAGATAATTAGCTTTAGGAATCTTTTATTTATACGTATATACACTTGATACCAAATGCAGCGCTTTAGGTATATATTCCTTAATAAAAGCTTGAATGTAATGATTTGACCCGTTTAAAAAAAGTGACCCGGGTCACCCAGGTTTATCGGGTGACCGTCAGCGTTGTCAATGGACATGGACATGGGATGCTTTTGGCTTGTATATCAATATACAAAGAAGTCCCCAAAGAAGAAGCTAGTTGACCTTTATAAAAACTATTTTATTGTGTTATCTTACTACACTTTAGTATAGGCAATTCTCCATCAAAAAAATTTTTTTGTTTTTTGTTAGTATAAAAAATTCCGACAATAAATTTCTTAATTTGAATTGAAAATAATCAATACTAGAAACGAAAATTATGCTTAGTTAAATGCAAAAAGAAAGTGGCAGTGGTATAGATGAATGGCACAAGTTATGAGTAGAACTAAAAAAAAATTGGTGTATTGGATATTCTATTGATGATCTTCAATGATCTTAACTATTAATTGTCTGGAGCATAGCGGAGGACAATCTATAGTGAAGTGATGGACCAGAATTTGTGTGTTTAGTGTTTATAGTCAATCCTTATTAATTGACTTGACTAAGTCAATATTTAAAATTCGACTTAGCCAGCTAAGTCAGAGTCGATTATTATTTTTACCTTCGGACCTTCAGAATTTATCAGAGATTCATTAAATTTTTGTTGCGACTTTGCCCGTATTTTTAAGTTCGTTGATATTTTTTCGGAATTTTTTGGCTCTTATTCTTAGTGCTATGTACTAAGAGAGGTAATGTATCGAATCTGATTGGTACTTTAATATAATCTAACATAAAATCAACTAAGTCGATAAAAACGAAATCGACTACAAACACTAATTAAATACGTAAACTGATGATCATCTGATCTAAAAATAACATTTTTAGATCAGATGATTATCAGTTTATTTAATTCGTCTGTTCTATTTTAGCTAATATATACGTAGCTAGATAATTAGAGTAGCTGCGCTAAAGCAGGAACGTGATACAATTACAATATTAGCACTAAGCATGACACTACAGTCCGTATGCTATTTTTTTAATATATTTTTATTTTAATTATCGCAGCTGATGCTGAGACTTGTACGATCACATGAAATCCTATTTTGACTTTTTATCGTTATTCAATCATTTTTAGAAAGTTATATTGTTCAGTAGTGCATCGATTGATAATTATAAGGTATAATATTTACCATTATAGAAATGTAATAATCCTAACACGGCATGACGTTTGTCATGCGTGTATACGAGATCGTAGTATAAATAATAATGAATCATTTTTTAATAATCGAATCAAAAGTTTGCAATTCTTGAATGTGTGCCAGGTTAGTGGCGCATTAATCAGCCCAAGTAATTCGTGCCAATTAAAAAAATTCCACTAAAAACAATAATAAAATTATAGAACGAAAATTTCATTTTTATCGTTATTTTAATCGAATCAAATGTTCTTGTTATTTTAAAAAGTACTTTCCCTCATTTTTCCATGACCTTTAGTTTCTAATATTATAGTTTTGAATTCAAAAAAATATTCATATTCTTTTATAATGTTTATAAGTTATAATTTTCAATTTTTTTACAGACCAGAATGATGACAACACGTCAAAATTTTAATATAATACGCGTATAAGAAAATATTGGCTTTGAAAGTATGATAATAAATCTAAAATAAACACAAATACAGAAATATATTAGCCAATAAACGCGACTATATAGCTTATAAAAAAAAAACTTTGAATGAAAAAAGCTTTTCTTAATCTATGCTGAATCGTATCTTAAAAAATGAATAATAGTAGTGCTCCTTGTTGTTAAAGGGGTCACTATTAAAACCAAATTTTATAAGCTTTGTTAATCTCAAATCTGAAATTACTGTAATATACCCTATTTGCATATTAAGTAGGTCAAACTACCAGTCATAATGAACCTTTTCGTGGAGAACGGGCCAAAAATTTAGGAAGTTATAATAGGTTTGTATAGAGAGTGTCGATTGTATTCATATTTATGTTACCGTATCCTGCTGTGAATAAGCACCCACCTTTCGCAATTTTCATATTCAAATTTCTCACGATCTAGTGGTCGAATTTGCATAGTCTTGGTACTATTCGAATCGGTTTGATAAGTTTATTCGAATAGTACCAAAATTATGCAGATCTAATGAGAATTTTGGATATGAAAGATGCGAAAGGGGCTGCTTATTCACGGCAGGATACGGTATATCTTCAATTCACAAAAAAAATAAAAATAGAAAACATTCAAGGTGACGAAACACGGTGAAAGTTTTCATTTAAAAAGAAAATTTTACGATATACTAAATAAAAGTGATCATTGTGGCTAATATTGTAATTGTATCACGTTCCTGCTTTAGCGCAGCTACTCTAATTATCTAGCTACGTA